TGACTTTGGTCCCAGGGGAGTTTGGTCCCGGTTCCACGTGGCGTTTTACACTCCAGCTCGTACCTGGTCTGAGCCTGGTGCGGGGGGGGGGTCGCTCAAGGTCCCGGATCAACGCGGGATTTCACCCCCCAGAAGGGTGCCAAAATCCTGGTCCTGGTGCCACGCAGAGTTCTGTTGCCTATCAATGCTCCGGTCCCACTCAGGGAGGGTCACCTCTGCTCTGGGTACCGCGTGGGGGTTTACAGCCTGAGCCACAGACAGGTTTGGCACCCAGAGGGGTTTAGTCCTGGTCCAGGATCCACACAGGGATTTGCACCTCGGTTTGTGCCTGAATCTGGCCCCAGGGGATTGCACCTGCTCCTGGTTCTGGTCCCATTCTTGATCTCATTGAGGCGTTGGAGCCCGGCTTGCACGTGAATCCCACTGTGGGAGGAATGTGTCCTTGTCCCTGTCCCCCTCACGTGGTGGGTTTTGCACTCTCACCCCCACTCCAGCAGTGGTGACCCCAATAACAGGCCCAGACCCCAGTGGGGCTTGCCTGTACCTGGCCCTGAGCCAGGTGGCACCCACACCTGGCTGGATGGAGCTGTGTGGTGCCCACAGGATGCCCTGGACCCACACAAGGGTGTGGAGCCGTGGGACCAGGGGTGCACCCCTCACACCCCCCACTGCTCTCCAGATGCCGACAAGCGGATCAAGGTGGCAAACCCAGTGGTGGAGATGGACGGGGACGAGATGACACGGATCATCTGGGCCTTCATTAAGGAGAAGGTGATGGGGGGCGTGCCCCCGGGGAGCTGGGGGGTTGGACGGGGAGCTGGTGGTCCCTGTGCTGCCCTCTGTCTGTCCCTCCCGCCTCCGTCCCTCTGTCTGCAGGAAGCAGGTCGTAAAATGGGCACAACTACCAGAACGACCTTTAAGTGAGGCGGTTCGGGCAGCGGGGGCTGTCTCACACAGAGAGGCCTGTTCAAGGCAGGGGGGATCATCCTGGTCAGCAGAACCACTTGGGGCAGGGGGAACCAGCTTGGGCAGGCAGCCAGGCTGGGCCGGGATGGGTGCCAGGGCTGGCCATGCCGTGGTGCTGCTCCCCAGGCACCCCACACTGTTCCCCCCTTCTGACACTCTGCTGGCCCCTCAGCTCATCCTGCCCAACGTGGATGTCCAGCTAAAGTACTTCGACCTGGGGCTGCCACATCGGGACAAGACGGATGACCAGGTCACCATTGACTCAGCGCTGGCCACGCAGAAGTACAGCGTGGCTGTCAAGTGCGCCACCATCACGCCTGATGAAGCCAGGGTGGAAGGTGGGCAGGGGCACGGGGCCGAGCTCCCGTTGCAGTGGGGGGGTGCTGGCAGCTCCGTGGGGTGCTGAGCCTCCTGTCTGTGCCCCCTGGGGTCAGCAGTGCCTTCCCACTGCCAGCTCAGGTTTCCGGTGGGTTGGGGCTGCACCATGCTCAGTGCTGTGCCCCTCTGCCCACCCTGGGGGCTCGTGGGTGCTGTGGGGACCCCATGGGCCTGGGGACACACTGACCTGTGCCCTGTGCCAGCCACAATCTCATGCTGGCTGTCCCTCCCCTTGCAGCAGGGTCTGGCAGCAGCCCGTGGCAGTGGAGCTGGGTGCTGGCAGGAGCCATGTGCTTCAGGGGGGCTGGGGGGTGCTTCAGGGGTCCCATCTGCATGCCCCACAGAGTTCAAGCTGAAGAAGATGTGGAAGAGTCCCAATGGCACCATCCGGAACATCCTGGGGGGGACGGTGTTCCGGGAGCCCATCATCTGCAAGAACATTCCCCGGCTGGTGCCCGGCTGGACCAAGCCCATCACCA